TGCTGATACCTGTTAGTTTACCATTATTCTTTTTCCAAAATGCATATTGGGTAAATAATAGATCAATAAAGATATATTCTGTTATTTAACCATTATTTATATATTTAACCTGTATAATGCTGCATCTAATTATAATAAACTCAAATAAAGTTTTAAAATCTACAATAGTCATATATTAGTTTAAATAATTTCTAATAACTGCTATATTTGTCTAAAAATCTTATGATAGTAATTGATTAAAAATCACAAATACAAAGTGTGGAGATTAAATTTGTATTACCAGAATTAGGCTAGATCACAAGCATCGAGATTGAGTAATATGATCATATTAAAGTTTTCTACAGATTAAAAAGAAGCTAATAGAATTCAAGAGTATCTTTTCATACTAAAACATATACTTGGAGGTAATTATAGTGCACCACTTTTAATTTTATATTTTATTTAATTGAACTTAAACCAATTAATTATATAACAAGTTAGCTGGTTATAACTGATAATGAACTGTTAATATTTTTCATTACAATTTGTAACTTGTAAAACTTATTTCTATTATTATATCTATCCTGCCTTTTTACAAGTTTTGTTAATGCTTATTATAATATTCTAAAAATAAACTGTTTAATAAAAATTTATTGATTTTAAAAAAAAATCTTCAAAAAAATATTTCATAAAATTATTATATAAAAAGATTGTTTTAAAGAAATATTAAATAACTTTTACATACTGTAATATAAACTTTTATATATCAAATAAATATCCAAACAATTAATTTCTTAACAGTTTAAAATATAGTTAAATAAAGAAATAAATGCCATAACAATAATGCTAAGTTTAAGGAGGTGAAATTTTTTATTTTTTAAATCATATGATATCGCAGATCATGGAACATATTCGGTGACCGTTAATGATCAAATTTCACATAATTTTGCAAACCGCAATAACCGTCAGAAAAATTAAATCGGGTTTAAATCGAATGGGTAAACCGGTTCCAACTTCTAGCAGAAAATGCTAATCTAAAGTATAAAATACCATATGATATAAGAAATTCTTATTACTATATAACATCCAAGATACCGATCATGCGAATGACTAATAAAGCGTAAATTTTCACATGTAGGTTAAATTTAGTAGCACTAAATCAGATAATCCAATCTTTTACGTACGTACGTAGTTAATATTTAAATTTACCTTTTTTGGAAATAGCAAATTTATTAGATTACAAGTTAAAAATGATCATTTTCTACACCATCATACATACAAAATTCAACCAATTTTAATTATATTACATAGAATTTTCTAATAATTAAAATTTAAACAAAAAAAAAAAGAAGTTATATACAAAAGAATTTTATAAAATTCAACCAAAAATTTACTATTTAATTTCAACCAAATATAAACCATTAACCATCTATTTACTCTTTAAAATAGTAAATCAAAATTAGTGTCTTTAATATTCTTCACCACTCGATAATTCTCCAGATCTTAATTCACCACTAAAGAATTCTTTTAAGCTGACTATACCGTCATCACAGAATTCTTCATTACTATCATCAACGCTAGATTCTGGATCCACATTTGAAGTAGTTTTTCTTCTATGATGACAAGGTACTTCACCACCTGTACTACCAGTTGCACCTCGTTGATGGGGTGAAGGAAGAAATTCATGTACCCCATACATACTAACCCTCGCTTCATTCAAATATGATGAAGCTTCTCCCCAAAATCCAACAATTCCACTTCCACCTTCACTTGATGTTAATGCACGAGTAAGTTCAACCGTATCATCAATAGTAATTTTTTTAAGAGGATCCCTAGGTAACCAGAGTCTTCTATTTAAATCTTTAACAAGATTAGGATGCGTATATGTTTGATACTGTGATGATTCATCTTGAATCGCTGTACGGTTAGGATCATACTTTACAACTAGAGGGTATAGATTCGATCGCGAAGTTCTTAAAGGTGTGCGAGTGATACCTAGATCCTGACAACTTACAGGAGAAGAGGTTAACACCTTTACTGATGGATCGAGATTTGGAGGGACAAGAGTCAATTTAAGAGTAGTTCTATTAGAAGCACCAATATTTTCATCAGTGTTGTCAGTTTGCATTGTTAATGTTTTTTGATGTTGAGCCTGTCGAGTTCCAGTTCCATTATCACTACTTTTTTCAAATTCAACTTTCTCAGTTAAATTTGCAGAGGATCGCTGTTCATCAATAATTTTTGAATGCATATTAGTGGAACTATTGTATTTTGTACTTGATTCACTATCACTACCGTGAGATTCATCATTTATTATACGTTTAACAAGTACATTATCAGCATTAGTTTCTATCATTTGTGAAGACATGTCCTTATTAATATCATCAGGAGCATTAATTTTTATCTGATATTTTTCATCTACATCTTTTTTTGATAATTCAATAGTTTATTTATTATTGTTTTCAAGATTTCTTATTTGCTATAGAGTA